AGAGCTGGCATTGACCGTAGATACCACCAAAGTCATGTGGCCAGCATGACTGTATAGAGCACTGTTACCTTCCCACAGAAGTGGTACCTATTGATCTACTCACATACCCAGAAGGGACAGAGAGTTTCATCTATGCAGATGATCTTGCCATTACTGCCCAAGCAGGGAGCTTTGAGATGGTAGAACAGAAGCTCTCCGAAGCTCTAGGTGATCTTACTGCCTATTACAGAGAAAACTAGCTGATCCGTAACCCATCTAAAACACAGACATGTACTTTTCATCTCAAGAACAGACAAGCATCCTGAGCTCTGAGGATCACCTGGGAAGGAAACCCACTGGAGCATTGCAGCGCACCCAAATACCTGGGAGTCACTCTGGACCGTGCTCTGACCTACAAGAAGCACTGCCTGAACATCAAGCAAAAAGTGGGTGCTAGAAACAATATCATACGAAAGCTGACTGGCACAACCTGGGGATCACAACCAGACACAGTGAAGACATCTGCCCTTGCGCTGTGCTACTCTGCTGCTGAGTATGCATGCCCAGTGTGGAACACATCTCACTACACTAAAACAGTAGATGTGGCTCTTAATGAGACATGCCGCATTATCACGGGGTGTCTGCGCCCTACACCACTGGAGAAATTACACTGCTTAGCCGGTATTGCACCACCTGACATCCGCCGGGAAGTAGCAGCCAATAGTGAAAGGACCAAGGCAGAGACATCTCCAGCTCATCCCCTGTTTGGGCATCAGCCAGCACGTCAACAACTTAAATCTAGAAATAGTTTTCTAAGATCTACAGAGACACTCGCTGGAACACCTCAGCAAGCGAGAGTCCAAAAGTGGCAGGCTCAAACCCAGAACCTCAACCAATGGCTGATACCAAATGAGAGACTCCCTCCTGGGCACACAGAAGACTGGGACTTGGAAGGCGCTGAACAGACTGCGTTCTGGCACCACGAGATGCAGAGCCAACCTCAAGAAATGGGGCCACAAAGTGGAATCCACAACATGCGAGTGTGGAGAAGAGCAAACCACTGACCACCTGCTGCAATGCAACCTGAGCCCTGCCACATGCACGGAGGACCTTCTTGCGGCAACACCAGAGGCACTCCAAGTGGCCAGATACTGGTCAAAGGACATTTAATCAACTACCAAGCTTGCAAACTCTGTGTCTTTTGTATGTTTGTTTGTTTGTTCTGTCAAAAATGTAATACAACTGTTCGGTTGCCTGACACGATAAATAAATAAATCTCCATTTCTAAATCAAAGAACTGGCATTGTCCATAGACACCTCCAAGGTCTTGTGGCCAGCATGACTGTATAGAGCACTGTTACCTTCCCGCAGAAGTGGTACCTATTGATCTACTCACATATGCATGTTTTCGTACTGCTAGGTTGGCAGAAGCTATGCCTGACAGCGGGAACTCACCCTGCTCCTCGGATTCAAACCGCCAACCTTTTGGTCAGGAAGTTCAGCAGCTCAGCGGTTTAACCCGCTGCACCATCAGAGAGCTCCAAGGACACAGGACTTCCTGTGAAAAAACACATATTTAAAGATTGCTGTTTTTATTGTGTTCTCCATGATTGCCTCCCAGCTCTGGAACTCGCTCCCCAGAGAGATTAGGCAGGCACCCTCCCTGGCAGTCTTTAGAAAAAGTTTAAAAACTTGGCTTTTCCAGTGTACTTTTGGGGATTGAATAATCAATTTCCATGTCATGTGCCGTGCCAGGAGAAATTTGTCTCTATGCTGCTCTTCATCTTATCCCTTGATTGAAGATTAATTCCACTGTTTTCTCGTACGACCCTCCCACTAGTTATAGCACTTCCTATCTATCTCACCCACTGATTTTATCAATTTTTACCCATTGCATTTGGTCTCTCTCGCTTTGTCTAATTGTATTACCATTTCATCATTTGTTTTTATTATGGTTTAGTTATTTTCATTTCATTACTATGTTATTATTAAGCATTTTATTTGATGTTATTGTTTGTTTTATATGTATTCTCAATTTATTGTTATTGTTTGGGCTTGGCCTCATGTTAGCCGCCCCAAGTCCCTTGGGAGATGGTGGGGGAATATAAATAAAGTATTATTATTATTATTATTATTATTATTATTATTATTATTATTAGAAACACAACAAGATGAGTCCACAGCAGACACTCTGCTGGCTGTTGTATTGGATCACATGTCGGACACTTCCCAAGTGTCTAGGACTGTGTGATGTATCGGCGAATAATGCGTGCAGATCCCAGTAAGGTGGCCTTCTGCAGCTGGCAGATGGTAATTTTGTCAGCGTCGATTGTGTTTAAGTGCAGGCCAAGGTCTTTAGGCACTGCACCCAGTGTGCCGATCTCCACTGGGACCACCTTTACTGGCTTGTGCCAGAGTCTTTGCAGTTCAATGTATTGTCGAAGGCTTTCATGGCCGGAATCACTGGGTTGTTGTAGGTTTTTTCGGACTATATGGCCATGGTCTAGAGGCATTCTCTCCTGACATTTCGCCTGCATCTATGGCAAGCATCCTCAGAGGTAGTGAGATCTGTTGGAACTAGGAAAAAGGGTTTATATATCTGACCAGGGTGGGACAAAAACAACTTTTCTCCGGCAAAGCATTCCAGCGGGGAAGGTAAAGGTAGTCCCCTGACATTAAGTCCAGTCATGTCTGACTCTGGGGTGTGGTGCTCATCTCCATTTCTAAGCCGAAGAGCCAGCGTTGTCCGTAGACACCTCCAAGGTCATGTGGCCGGCATGACTGCATGGAGCGCCATTATTATTATATAAATCAATAAAATTAGTTATTTTTTCATCTGTGAGAACACTTCTAGGATTTTTCTAGGTCCTTCAGCATTACTCTCTGCATTTGATTTGGAAAAGTTGCTTTTTAAGACTACCGTTCCCAGCATCCACCAGCTGGCTCTGGTAGTTAATGGATTCTGGAAGCCATAGTACAAAAAGGGACTCATCCAAACATTAAACCTAACTCAACCTTGGAGATAGGGTGGCTAATTGGGGGCATCCATTTTAGTCCATCTAAAGTCTTAGAAAGGTAATAATAATACTTTTATTATAATAATATTATGTTAAAATAATAATAATAATAATAATAATAACAACAATAATACAGTCCTAGACATTTGGGAAGTGTCCGATGTGTGATCCAATACAACAGCCAGCATAGTGATCTTGTTTGCTGTGCATTAATCTTGATGTGTTTCAAATAATAATACTTTATTTATATCACGCCCTATCTCTCCCCAAGGGGACTCAGGGCGGATCACAGTATACATACACGGCAAACATTCAGTGCCATTTTGGATAGACAGGACAGAGACACACAGAACAGAAAGGAGGTATGTTGTGTTGACATCCAACTTTTTGGTGCCTTGGAAGGTTGTGCTCGAATCCAGCCATGGGGTGCTGTCGCTCCATCCTCTATGGCGAAGAGCCATCAGGACTTCCTTTTGATCACAGGGCATTTTCTGATCTTTTTTTCTTTATAGTGTCATAAAATACCTCCCCCGCTTGTTTTAACTTCTCTACTTATAGCTCAAGCTGTTTTCGAACTGCTTAGGTCAACAGTAAGCTGGGCTGACAGTCAGGAACTCACACCAGCCCAGGGATTCAAACTGGCAACCTTTCAGTTGATAGATCTTATCATTGCTGGTGATTTACCAGCTGTGCTAAAGTTGTCTTATACCTCTTGTACAGAAAGTCACGTAGGAGGGCCTAACACATATGGAGCCACTATGGCACGATAGGTGACACCCTTGAGCTGTTGAACTGCTGACCTGAAGGCTGGCTGAACTGCTGACCTAAACATCGGCAGTTTGATCTGCGAGATGGGGTGAGCGCCCATTTGTTAGCTCCAGTTCCTGCCAACCTAGCAGTTCGAAAACATGTAATGTGTGAGTAGATAAATAGGTACTGCTTCAGTGGGAAAAGGCAAATAGATGCTCCAATCAGTCTTGCCGGCCACACAATCAGAAGGTGACAACTCAAGCTCCTCAGCTTGAAAATAGAGGAAAGGACTTCCCAGAGTCAGAGATGAGCACCAGAAGCCAGAAACGAAAGGAGAAGCCTCTGCCTTTTTTTGTGTTCGTGTGTGTATATAATTGTAAAGGCATTGAATGTTTTCCTATGTATGTAAAATGCAATAATCTGAGTCCCCTAGGGGAAAAGGGCAGAAAATAAATGAAGTGTGTAGTAGCAGTAGTAGTAGTTGTTATTTATATTATTCCTAGCTAGATTGCTAATTTGGGTTGAGCCTTTCAGTCCAGTTAAAATCTTAGAAAGGTGCCTTATACTTGTATGCTTTGGCCAGAACTTACAATAGAATCACATTGGAGGACCGAGTAAATTTACTAAGATCTCCAAGGGCGACCTCTAGAATCATAGAATCATAGACCCATTGAGTTGGAAGAGACCTCATGGGCCATCCAGTCCAACCCCTTTCTGCCAAGAAGCAGGAACATCTCATTCAAAGCACCCCTGACCGATGGTTATCCAGCCTCTGTTTAAAAGCCTCCAAAGAAGGAACCTCCACCACACTCCGGGGCAGAGAGTTCCACTGCTGAACAACTCTCACAGTCAGGAAGTTCTTCCAAATGTTCAGGTGGAATCTTCTTTCTTATAGTTTGAAGCCATTGTTCCTTGCGTCCTAGTCTTCAGGACAGCAGAAAACAAGCTTGCTCCCTCCTCCCTATGACTTCCTCTCACATATTTATCCATGGCTATCATATCTCCTCTCAGCCTTCTCTTCATCAGGCTAAACATGCACAGCTCTTTAAGCCGCTCCTCATAGGGCTTGTTCTCCAGACCCTTGATCATTTTAGTCACCCTCCTCTGGACACATTCCAGTTTGTCAACTTTGATTGAAGTCATTTGTTTTAATAAGATTCGCTATTATTTCTTTTTTACTGTGGGATCAGGGTTTGCACCCTATATACCTAGAATAAATAAATCCAAACGAGTCTTTTCCCACTTCTTTTCTAGAATGCCATATACGGAAGCCATAGAAGTTTTAAAAGGAGCTCGGGAAGACTTCATTTACAAACCAGAGGTATGTCATTCTTAAATAATTTGATAAGAGAGGGGCAAAGTTTCCTTTTAGCCAGTGCCATTCAGTTGTTAGACTGATCGACCTACTGTCTCTGATCTGTTAGGAAACAGAGAATATGCTAGTGCATAAAAAATAGCAGTTCTTCAGAAGTATTTTTCAGTGCCATATATATACACACACACACACTCACATAAAACATTTTTTTAATTATGCACACGAGACAAAATAAAATAGACTTTGGTAAAAATAATATATTTGGTTTATTTATTATTTTTTTATTTCCAGTATTTCTATCCCGTTCCTTCTCAACCCCCGAAGAGGGACTCAGGACAGCTTACATTTGGCAGCAATTTGATGCCTCTACATATAACAGAGCCAAAATAACAATTAAAACAATAAGTAAAAACATTAATTAGAACAGTATTAAAAGCCAGCTTACAGCAAGGATTTGATGCTACTAATACAAGTTAAAACATCATACAACAATACAAGATTAAAATACATATAGGTAAAATACATATATACCAAATCGCCAAGGTAAAATCATGTTCAACTCAGTCCGCATATGTGGTCACTCACTTTGGTCTGTAACCAGTCTCATTATTATTTATTCTGATCTCAGGTAAATTTCCAGACCACACGTTACTCCTTTATTGGTGGTAAACAATGCATAGGATGGTACTTCAGTCCTTTTGCTGATGGAGTAAGCATCCCTGCACAACCAAGACAATGTCTAGCTAGATCTTGGAGCTTCCACAGAGCTCTTAAACTAGAAATCGTGATAATTCTTTCTGCTCTTTTCTCCTTTTCCCCTCTCCTCAGTGGGGCCAGGATCTTCAAAGTGAACATGAGAAATACTTGTTGAAACACTGTGGCGAAATCCCCGTATTTATTTTCAACTATCCCTATGACCTGAAACCATTCTATATGCGGGACAATGAAGATGGTGTCCATCACACGGTAAGAGCGTCCAATAAAATAAAATAAAATGGACAATTTCAACAGAAAGGGGGAAACCATGAAAATGAACAAAATCTGGCTACCAGTATTAAAAAAACTCTAAAATTACAACAGCACAACAACAGAGAGGAAACAAACAAGGACATCTAATCACCTCTCAACAAAAGTTTGCTCCAGGTACTGTCAGGCCATTATATGCTAATCAAGGTGGTCAGTTGAAACATTCACACCTAGCTCCAGCAGACAAGAGTCCTTTGTCCCACCCTGGTCATTCCACAGATATATAAAACCACTTTCCTAGTTCCAACAGACCTCACTACCTCTGAGGATGCTTGCCATAGATGCAGGCGAAACGTCAGGAGAGAATGCCTCTAGACCATGGCCATATAGTCCTAAAAAACCTACAACAACCCATGAGGAAGTTCTTCCTAATATTTAGGTCAGTGGTTTCCAACCTGTGCTCCGTGGACCACCAGTGGTCCACAAGAACTAAAATATGGTCCGCGGCCCCACTGTTAGTACACTGTAGCAACGAGAGCGATTGATCTCACGAAACCCTCTGATAGTGCCGAGGCTTGTTAAATATGTTTTTCTGTGGGTGAGCAGATGGCAACTACTGGATGGCATATACTTACTTAGTCAATTCCTCGTTGTACGAGTAGGATTGTCTTCCAAGATAAGTGTACTGGCAGTGTGGAACCCTATTCTTGATCTGCATGTTCTCTGACAGTGAGGCCATTGGTTTCCAGCTTTCTCTCTTTTGCCCTCCATTCATGCCTCTTCAAATTCTACAGCACTGCTGGTCACAGCTGACCTCCAGCTGGAGTGCTCAAGGGCCAGGGCTTCCCAGTTCTCAGTGTCTATGCCAGAGTTTTTAAGGTTGGCTTTGAGCCCATCTTTAAATCTCTTTTCCTGTCCACCAAGATTCCATTTTCCATTCTTGAGTTCGGAGTAGAGCAACTGCTTTGGGAGACGGTGGTCGGGCATCCAGACAATGTGGCTGGTCCAGCGGAATTGATGGCGGAGGACCATTGCTTCAGTGCTGCTGGTCTTTGCTTCTTCCAGCATGCTGACATTTGTCCGCTTGTCTTCCCAAGAGATTTGCAGGATTTTTCGGAGGCAATGTTGATGGAATCGTTCCAGGAGTTGCATGTGACATCTGTAGATTGTCCACATCTTGCAGGCATATAGCAGGGTTGGGAGGATAATACCTTTTAAACAAGCACCCTGGTATCCCTACGGATGTCCTGGTCCTCAAACACTCTGTGCTTCATTCGGAAAAATGCTGCACTTGCAGAGCTCAGGCAGTGTTGTATTTCAGTGTCAATGTTGACTTTTGTGAAGAGGTAGCTGCCAAGGTAGCAGAAATGGTCAATGTTTTCTAACGTTACACCATTAAGCTGTATTTCTGCCATTGGAGAGGGATTTGCTGGTGACTGCTGGAAGAGCACTTTGGTTTTCTCAATGTTCAATGACAGGCCGAGATTCTTGTATGCTTCTGCAAAGGTGTAGATCTGCAAAAGTGTATGTCACTGACCATGGAACATGTTCTGTATCAGAAATAGAGCTGATGTGGTCTATCCAATAATTTTCTGAATCAGCAACCCAAATAACCAAACTGAATCTAAAGTTGACCAAAAACTGATTCGCAACCATTTTTGTACTAATGTTGGGAAGTGGTCCCTGGGCCAGGGTATTAACAGGAGCGGCGCTCAGGGACACAACTCTTTTGTTGTGCCAGCTCCAGTGGCTGCCTGTTTGCTTGTGGGCACAGTTCAAAGTGCTGGCTTTAGCTTATAAAGCCCTATGCAGTTGATGGGCTGAATGTTTCTCTCCTTATGAACCATCTAGGACAGTGGTTCTCAACCTGGGGTCCCCAGATGTTTTTGGCCTACAACTCCCAGAAATCCCAGCCAGTTTACCAGCTGTTAGGATTTCTGGGAGTTGAAGGCCAAAAACATCCGGGACCCCAGGTTGAGTACCATTGATCTAGGGTGTTAAGACCTTCTGGGGAGGCCCTGCTCTCACTCCCACCTTCTTTGCAGATGCGTCTGGTAGGGACGAGAGACAGGGCCTTTTCAGCGGTGGCCCCTCAACTGTGGAACGCCCTGCCTAGAGATATAAGATTGGCTCCCTCCCTCCTGCCTTTTGAAAAAAGGTGAAAGCCTGGCTTTTTGAGCAGGCCTTCCCAAATACGCCATAGTTATATGAAATCATAGAACTACTTGATGACATAATTGAATAATGACTTGACATGGAGATGCTAACGATAATGTTTTAAGACTTTGTATGGTTTTTATATTTTTATATTTTATGCTAATGTTTTTAACAGTATTTTATAATTGTTTTATTTGTTAATAATTGTTGAGGCATCAAATGGTTGACAATTGTGAACTGCTCCGAGTCGCCTCTGCGCTGAGAGGGGCAGTATATATAAATATGGTTAATTAATTAATTAATTAATTAACTTCACATGTATACCGCTCTTCTCAGCCCTCAGGCGACTCAGAGCAGTTAACAACCAATTCAACAGTACAAAACAGATCATTAATCAATTAAAACAGCAATATCAATTAATTCACATCAAAACATCAATACAACAATACAACAAAATAACAATCCAGCACGTCTCATCAATAGAATCAGCATCCACTCTCATTGTCCATTAATCCATATTAATATTAATTAATCCATATTCCAATAATCAATCAATTGCACTGCTTAGTTAATAAAAATTGCACTGCTTAGTTAATAAAAGCCTGTTCAAAGAGCCAGGTCTTCACTCTCTTCCGGAATGCCAACAAGGAGGGGGCCGATCTGATGTCTGTAGGAAGGGCGTTCCACAGCCGAGGGGCCACTACTGAGAAGGCCCTGTCTCTCGTCCCCGCCAGGCGTGCTTGTGAGGCCGGCAGGACCGAGAGCAGGGCCTCCCCAGACAATCTTAACGTCCTACCTGGTTCATAGGAGGAGATGCGTTTGGACAGATAGGTCGGGCCAGAACCGTTTAGGGCTTTAAAGGCTAAAGCCAGCACTTTGAATTGTTCCTGGTAGCAAATTGGCAGCCAGTGGCACTAGCGCAACAGAGGAGTTGTATGCTCCCGCTCCTGTTAGCAACCTGGCTGCCGATCGTTGGACCATTTGAAGCTTCCAAGCAGTCTTCAGAGGCAACCCCACGTAGAGAGCGTTGCAATAGTCTAAACGGGATGTAACTAGAGCATGGACTACCGTAGCCAAGTCAGACTTCCCAAGGTACTGGCGCAGCTGGCGCACAAGTTAATAAGAACACATGATTGAGTATCCCTTCCAACTATTTTCCCCCTTTCCTTTCAGGTTGCAGCAGTTGATCTTCTGGTACCAGGAGTCGGGGAGCTTTGCGGAGGCAGCTTGAGAGAAGACCGGTTGGATTTTCTCCAGTCCCGCCTTCAGAGGTCAAAAGAACGTCTGCCACTTTGCGCCTGATTTGGAGGGAGGACGGGGACAGGGGACGTGCTGACAGTTGGTCCAGAGAGGTTTGCTAAGGACACCAGTAATTAGAGTGGAAAAGAGGGAGGGCACTCAGACGGAACAGATGCTTTCTTGGGGATGGGTTCCTTGATGTTCCCGTCGCCTGCGTGTAATCTCTTTAAAGCACCAGGTTCCCTCCTCCTCGAAATTTGCTCCCTTCGACAAAACACTAATGCAGAAGAATGCTGAGAAAGGTGTTCCTTTCTCACAGATAAATTTGGATTAGGGAGTGGGGGAACTGCTTGGATACAATGGAATGAGAAACCTTGGTTTGCTATTTTACAAGACCGGTTCTCAGTTCACTTTGGGTACTTTGTGTAGGGAGGAAAGCTTTTGTGTTGACTCACCCATAAGACATAAATGGCTGCAAAAAGGAATCCCAGCTGTTGGTTTTGTTGGAGTGGGTGAGAAAAACTAATAGTGTGGTCATCAGGAAAAAAATAAATTTTTGGCAGCACAGAAGGGGCAGAATGCACCGAGAGGGTGACAAGGCCAGCTTTTTCCTGTCTGAATGAGGTTTATCTCTAACCCTTTACTCCAGTATTTCCCCAAGCTTGTAATTATGCTATTCCTCTGCTGATTTGAGTCTGTTGTTCCAACTGCAAGCCCCATTTTCATATCATGTTAGGGAGTTCGCATTTCTTTGCTATCAAAGTTGGTGTCTTCTTTCCCTCTGCTCAACCACCCAAGATTGTCCCACAACTTACCATTTAGTCACTACAGACGATGGTCATTCTGTTGCTGGTGCAAAACAGGAGGATAGATGAATAAGCTATGTCCCTACAACCAGATGCAGCATCATTACTGCATATACTCATGTATAAGTCTAAACATTTTGGTCAGAACATTTGTTGAGATTAATTTCACAATTCAGCAGCAGATCAGTTGCACAACTTCAACGCTTTCCAGTAGCTTCTTCCTGCACGGTATTTTCAGTCAACTGCTCCCACAAACTGCAGTCACTCTGGAACTCTTTTACAGACACTTGAGCACATGCCCGACCATTGTCAGTTTTACTATTGTTTTCCCCTCCAATCTAGATGACACTACAAACTTACCACGGCACACGGTTATATCTTGTCTTAGCAGACAGGTTCTTTTAATCAATTACATAGAGCCTTTGACGAACAGCATCACAGCACAAGGAGAGACATATACACTGTACATGACTTCCTTATATACAATTCTGTACATTTACACATAGCAATCTCTGATTAGTTCCCAACTCATTGACTTAACTCAAACCCAGGATTGCATCATTCACAATCACCTGGACTAGGCCAGAATACATTCCCCAAATGATTTCCTATATACAGTTAATGCATGACTCAGCATTTCCAATGGAAGCCTATTAGCAGTGCATGAATCAGCTATATTACATTATAATACATTGTAAAACCTGACGACATTGATCCCAAAAGCCTGGGTTTACTTACCCATGGGCAAGTACTGTATCTTAACTGATATTAAAACAGGAACAATTTCTAAGTCAAGTGAAGAAAGAGGAAAACTTGAGTATAAGCCGATCCAAATATAAGCTGAGGTACCTAATTTTACCGCAAAAAAATGGAAAAATGTATTGACTCGAGTATAAGCCAAGGGTGGGAAATGCAGCAGCTACTGGTAAAATTCGAAATAAAAATAGATACCAATACTAGTACATTAATTGAGGCATCAGTAGGGTAAACGTTTTTGAATATTTACAGTATTTCTAAGAAAAACGATAAGTTAGCTCTGTAACTGGAAAAGTAGGATCAACAATAACAATATGGTGTCAAGAATAACATAATAATAATAATAATAATAATAATAATAATAATAATAATAATAATTAATACAACAGCCCGCAGAGTGATTGTGTCTGCTGTGGACTCATCTTGTTGTGTTTCAAGTAATAATAATAATAATAATAATAATAATAATAATAATAATAATAATTAATACAACAGCCAGCAGAGTGATCGTGTCTGCTGTGAACTCATCTTGTTGTGTTTCAAGTAATAATAATAATAATAATAATAATAATAATAATAATACTTCATTTGTATCCTGACAGCTTCCAACATAGTAACAGGCAAACATTCAATGCCTATATAAACAATGCAGAGCTAGATATAGATCTATAATTATATATACTAATTTTCACATATGCATTTTCCCCTAAAAGGTTCGCAAATCCTCTCTCTCTATGTGTGTATTTTCCTCCTGCAATATTTACAAGCCCCATATATCTATATTCATATATATCTATCTAAACATCTCTCTCTATAAAAATAATTATATCTACATAGGAGTTGCAAACATGTGAGGGGAAAATTCATATAAAAATAATGTATATCTATAGATTCAGATATACAGGTACATGGAAATCTCTAGATATCTATAGGATTTGCAAAGACCTGCAAACATATGAGGAACAAAATTGCACATATAAAGTGAATACATTTTGATACACACACAAAAAAGCTAGGAAATTAGATGGGTTTGAAAGAGAGCCATACAAACAAGGAGGACATGAAATATATCTCCTTTCCCTGCTTCTCTCCCTTTTAACTGGAAAAGAAAACACACTCTTAAGGGAGATAAGAGGAGAGAGAAATATATATTGCAAGCAATGGCCTCCAGGTTCCATTGCCTGCCCTTGACCTTGATCCCATTATAAGCCGAGGGAGGCAGCTCAAAAAAGGGCTGAAAACCGGGCTCATTTTTTAGTGTATACGGTAGTCTTGGGAGAAGTTAAAAGAAACACTGACCCCACCTACCCCTCTAGTATGGCACTGATTTTGGCCTTTTGGGATATCCAATTGAGAAAATGGTGGCAGAAGCGGTACTCACAATTTCTCCTTCTATGAGATGAACATCAACTTGTCCAGGGGTCATATCAAAGTCCAAAACCTGCTCTCGGTACATACATGAAGTCAACTTATACATGAGAATATACAGTACATCTTTCACTGAAACCATCTCAGCAAGTAATGTAATTATTTATTATTTATTTATTATTTATTTACTGCATGTCTGTGCCGCCTTTCTCAGCCCAGAGGTGACTCAAGGCGGCTTACAGCTGGCACAATTCGATGCCACAATAATAATAGAACAGAATTGAAAACATTTAACGCACATTATAAGAACCATGTAAAAATAATTAAAAACATATAATCATCAGCTTATTTTCCAAAAACATAAGCTAAATGGGCGTAGCAAGATGTGTCTCCAAGTTGCAGAATAGAAGTAGGAAGGCTGCATTAGTTAAATGCTGAGTCTTGGTATTGAAAATACAGGTGAGCATGCAAAATTATTATACAGTGCTCTACCATATGGGTTCACAGCATTGAAATATGAGCTGTCCTACTTTAGGGTGTTGTAGGGATCACAGAATGAGATGAATGTGGATTAAAACAAACCTGATCATGCAACATGGCATAATAGAGCATGTACCTGTACAGCACCACAAGCCATCCGGGTGACAAAAGTATCCATATTTTGGGCTGTGATGGACCATGGAACCTTTGCCAAATGCATAGAAATACCACTATAGAATTGGCCGCTATTGTACTTCTACTGAGAAAGGTTTCTTTTGTTGATTCCACAGGTTGGGACTCGAAGACACCTATCAATGGTAAGACACATCAAAGTACTTCTTGTCACTATGCTGACACATATTTAGAGACCATCCAAATGGAATTGATTTGCCCAACCAGTTGGTGAAAACCAGGTGATGAAAGAGAAACAGACTCTTCTTCAAAGTTTTTGGGTGGAAGCAGTTAGGTTTCTAGCAGTTCCTCTTATTTCCTGCACCAATCGAAGTTAAACATGGATATATATTTCACTGCCTTTTTTTAGTATTTACCAAAAATGTCCTAATTTCTTTGCAAAGGAGATAAAAAGAACTTAAAACTGAAACTTCCAGATTAACTCTTCCAAAGCTAGGACTTCAGAGCATTTAACTCTTAGAAATCTGACTTTGATTCTTTATGTTAATTCACCCGCCTATGGGATGCCGATGGAGGAATGCCACCTCTTTTTTCTCAAAGTCTTTCAGTTTAACAACTATTTGCTGTGCAGTTGCACAATGGCTTATCCAGGCTGGGAATCACAGGTTGTTGGATTGTAGTGACAGAAATGCGAGAGAATATTGTTTCAATTCAATTCAAAATTTCAAATGATGGGTGACAAATTCAAACTCTTAAGTAATTGAAATTTCCTGATCTCCATCCAGCAAAATCCTTGCCATTTTCCTCCACCTTACCCAACAAATTTGGTGGTTCAGTGACAGTGCTGTCATACTTGTAAACCATTAGCTTGAATCTTATAGGGTCATCCCAATGACAATAAATCTATTATATCAGTGGGATTTACCAACGCATTCCCTCACCATTCAGTAGGCCTCATTTCATTAGAGCTACCAGTAGAGTTGGTTGGTCTCAGATGCAACTGACCCACTGAATCAACTGTTGAATTGTAAGACGTTGGATCAACATATAGAGAAAATGAGTTGATATTGTGGATCTCTATTTGGGACTAACCAACAGGACTGAGAGTGCCTTGAACCGTAATAAGATCCAACCAGTCCGTACTCCAGGAAATAAAGCCCGACTGCTCGCTGGAGGGAAGGACATTAGAGGTAAAGATGAAGTCCTTTGACCACATAATGAGAAGACAGGAAAGCTTGGAGTAGACAATGATGCTGGGGGAAGTGGAAGGAAAAAGGAAGAGGGGTTGACCAAGGGCAAGCTGGATGGATAGTATCCTTGACGTGACTGGCTTGACTTTGAAGGAACTGGGAGTGGCCACATCCGACAGGGAGCTCTGGCGTGGGCTGGTCCGTGAGGTCACGAAGAGTCAGAAGCGATTGAAAGAATAAACAACAACAACTAACAGGACTCGAGTCAGTGTTTGAAATACACTTAGTACTCCTAATTCAGTGGTTCCCAACCTTTTTTTGACCAGGGACCACTTAACCAGGGACCACTTTGACCAGGGACCACTCTCCCAAAAGGGTTACAAATCAGTTTTTGTGCAACTTTAGGATTTGGTTATTTGGGGTGCTGATTCAGAAAATTGCATTGGATAGACCACATCAGCTCTAGTCTCTGATGCAGAACATATGCCATCCAGTAGTCTCCATCTGTTCACCCACAGAAAACCATATTTAATATACCTCAACGTTGTAAGAGGGTTTTGCGAGATGGTGTAGTAATGGTGAGACCATGGACCATATTTTAGTTCTTGGGAACCACTGGTGAGAACCACTGTCCTAACTGAATCAAACATTGACTCACCTCTAAACAGTTATGGAAATTCCATCGATTTACAGTAGTATCTTAACAGTAATTCCCTTAATTTATAGTATGGTTTTAAGCAAGAATTCAAGCTCTGATAAACCCGCTCAAAAATAGTTCCTGAATACAACTGAATCTCAACTTTCGTAGATTTAACTGTCACAGATTGGATCAAGCCTTACTCTTCAACAGTTATGTAAATCTCATTCATCTATAATAGTATTGAACAATATTCCCATTAATTACTTGCATGGTTTTGAAAAGTTATTCTGGCCTTTATCTTGTGGGCTGCCTGTAAACCTGCTAGAAAAAAAAATAATGTATTTGCCAATCTGAATATACTTGAACGTCAATTTTCTCAGATGTATTTTTGTGGATTGGATTATTCGCAAGTGTGCCATCAATAATTAAACAGGAATTTGGGGGGAAGGAGGGGAGATTTGTGATCTGCTGTAGAAAATCTCTGATGACATCCAAAAATGTAAACTTTATAAAAAGTTTAATAGGTCATAAATTCATAAAATATATCTACTGTACCTTGTTGCGCTAAGCGTATTTCAGTCAAGTCTAAGACACAATAACATTGTACCCAGGCAAGAGGAAAAAACAAAAAAACTTTGCTCTTATCAGCAGAGTTAAAACATAAACTTGTTACAAACAGTGCAACAAACTTACATAGTCTTTGTAAGCAATACAGAATAAGGCTTCTTCATCTTCAAATGAGAGAGCGGTAGAAATGGTTGACCAAAATGCCTGAGCAAAGGCTCCTTTGAGCAAAAGCTGAACTGTATTCTAAAAACCATACAGTTATACCCCACCGGGTGTGGTCCAAACTTACTAGTTGACCTACATTCGCAGCTGCATATAATAATTAACAGCATACACACACATGCTTGATCCTGTTACGACTTACTGTAACATACCTTTCTTTGTTTGCTAAATACGGTCAACAGTATTCAGGTTTGGAGGACTTACAGGTATTTGAGTTTTCCCCACTTTTGTGGGAGCACTACCTACCTGTACATTGTGAAAAAAGCAAATCTTTTCAGCACCATCAGGCTTAGGAAATGAATGTCTTGGAAATGAATTAATACTTTGTCATTGCCTAAGCGGCAAAATGTTCAGCCTAGGTTGTTTGAAGGACAGACCCATATTGGACTTCAGTTTTGATGAGTGAGGAGCCTTGCCTGGTCTTTTTTAGAATCAAAGCTCAGCTGCCGTTAACAAAACTCCATTATACATTAGATCTCATCGGGCAACTTTGTTCCACTTGATTTCCTGCTCTTCATAACGGCCAAAGTCAAACTTCAAGGTGGATGGAGAATTAGCCTTAGTCTTTGAATCTGCCCTGTTGACATGAAGTTGCGCTGGAGGACTTAGAGATTCCTAATGAGAACATTTCAATCAAATCCGTGAACAACTGAATCTGCAAAAGTCAGACCCACAAATGTGGACGGTCAATGGTTCAAAGTCTGCAAAAGTTAACCAGTTCAGAGCTTCTCTGCTAAGTCTCCAGGACAGTGTTCATCACATTTCATAAATAGCGCAAGATCCATTATGAAAACAGGGAGGCGATTCGGAGCTACAAGCTTCCTTCATGCTTTCCAAGAAGGTTGTCCATTATTTTGTCTCATCTCAGCAGACATGATGGCTGCACATTTAGGAAGTAGGTCAGCAAGAAAGTAAATATTACTTGTAAGCCACCTCAAGTTCTTTTGGGAAGATGGGGTGAGATATAAATACAATTATCATCATCATCATCTACGCAGGAAATGTTGTTTCCTACAGACCCAAAAATATCATATATGAATTTTGTTCAGAATTAAGTCTTAAACTGCAAATAGTTTTTCAAAGACTTTCCTATGGTGGGAAAAATTGCTCAGATTAGTTATTGCTTCCTTCAAGGAGAAAATCAGCAAAGAATAGCATTGCTAGACTAGTCCTGGTTAATGGCAGACTAATAATAACATATGGAGCCCCCAGTGGCACAGTGGGTTAAACCCTTGTGCCGGCAGGACTGAAGACTGACAGATTGTAGGTTCAAATCCGGGGAAAGTGTGGATGAGCTCTGTCTGTCAGCTCCAGCTCCCCATTGGGGACATGAGAGAAGCCTCTCACAAAGTTGGTAAAACATCAAAACATCTGGGCGCCCCCTGGGCAACATCCTTGCAGACGACCAATTCTCTCACACCAGAAGTGACTTGCAGTTTCTCAAGTTGCTTCTGACACTAATAATAATAATAATAATAATAATAATAATAATAACAATATAGAAGAAATACTAATAACTAAAATGCAAAACCATTATGATTGTTGTTATTATTATTATTATCTATTCTATTTTTTACCCATTGTGAACCTTGGGAAGAGGTAGGTAATATATTATTACATTGTTGTTGTTACCTGTCTCTCCTCAAGGTACAATTAAAAAATATATATATAATAGATAGCTAAAAACATAAAACTATTTAAAGTTTTAAATGCTTTAAATATCCATCTGTCAGGGGTGCTTTGAATGAAATTTTCCTGCTTCATGGCAGAAGGGGATTGGACTGGATGGCCCACAAGGGCTCTTCCAACTCAATGATTCTGTAATTCTATAAAGCACTAGCCATCCCCTGCCAGGCGTTGCTGTGGCCCAGTCTGGTGATTTGGAAAATAAAGTAATGAGAAAGTGTTGGTTTCTAATATTTGTAATTTCTTTATGCTTTTGGGTAAACAGTATTTCTTGTTGGGTTGTTATAGGTTTTTCGGGCTGTATGGCCATGTTCTAGAAGCATTCTGTCTTGCCGTTTCTCCTGCCTTGTTGTTTCTTTGTCAGTGTTGATATAGAGATTGTCTGGTTTGCCTAATCTCGAACATGTAGCATATAATTGTCCTTCTTTAGCAGTCCCTTTCAAATCTATGATACTGTATCTGTTATATACGTGTTTGTGTATCATATATATCTATATCTATGGCTGGATGGCTCTTTGTCAGGAGGGCTTTAATTATGTTTTCTTGCCTCGGTGAAGAGAGTTGGAATGAATGGCCTTAAGGCAGCATTTCTCAACCTGGGAGTCGGGGGGGGGGGGGGGGGGGTCAGAAGGGTATTTTCTGTTGGTCATGGGGGTTCGTTGTGGAAAGTTTGACCCAATTCTATTGTTGGTGGGGTTTAGAATGCTCTGATTGTAGGTGAACTATAAATCCCAGCAACTACAACTCCAAAATGTCAAGGTCTATCTCCCCCAAACTCCACCAATGTTCGCATTTTGGCATGTTGAGTATTCATGCCAAGTTTGGTCGATATCCTTCATTGTTTGAGTCCACAGTGCTCTCTGGATGTAGGTGAACTACAACTCCAAAACTCAAGGATGACCCACCAAAACCCTTCTAGTGTTTTCTGTTGGTCATGGGAGTCCTGTGTGCCAAGTTTGGTTCAATTCCATCATTAGTGGAGTTTAGAATGCTCTTTGATTGTAGGTGAACTATAAATCCCAGCAACTACAACTCCCAAATGACAAAATCATTTTTTGAGTGATGGTCACTCCTTGGGTTAGTAGGTGTCTTGTGGCCAAGTTTGGTGGCAATTCGTCTAGTATATTTTGAGTTATGGTAACACTCAAAACGAACAAAGCATTGATAGATAGGTAGATAGATAGGTAGGTAGGTAGGTAGGTAGATATAGATAGATAGATAGATAGATAGATAGATAGATAGATAGATAGATTCAGACTGCTGGCTTGTAAGAAAAGTGCTGTCAAAGAATGCTGTGTGGCTTTAAAGTGTACTGTTTAAACTGAGTAGGCCTGCTATTAGAGATAGGTCTTGAATGCTTTTTGAAATGCAGACAGCTCATTTAGCTTTTGGAGCTCTTCTGGCAGGTCATTCCACAGTTTAGGGGCAATGAAAATTTCCTCTGGTTGCCAGTTTCTAATCCAGTCTTGGACACTAAGACGACAATCGTGAAGTCAAAAAAGTTGAGGTTATGCAGAAATGGGGAAAAAATGGAAAATGTGATAGTGGAGTTTCAATGAGAAGGGATTTATGGAAAATATGCATTTTGTTTTGCCTTCCAGGTATCTAGAGCTGCGTCAGTTTGGATCCACACCTCATGGCGGGTTTGGAATGGGCTTTGAGCGCTACCTCCGTTGCATTTTGGGAGTCGAAAACATCAAAGACGTCATCCCGTTCCCTCGATACCTTCGCTCCTGCATCTTGTAGCATTTGCCTTGTTTCCTGAGAATGAGACTCTCTTTTTTCTGAATTTATGGCATGGAAAGATGGCAGAAATGCAACGCTGTTGGGAAGACAGTTGAATCCTTCGACTTTATCTTTCAAGCTTGGACAATCTTGTGGTCATCTTTGTTCAATTTTTGAAATTCAGGCTAGTTTTGTATTATATTCATGTACAGATTTTTCAAAACCTGTTCTTTCCTGGCTCTGAAAATCAATTGACCCTTTGCTGGAGTGAATAAACTTCACTGGGAATGTATTTATTTACCTGATTTTTCCCCCTTGGCTTTGATGACTCTGAACCAGGAATGATAAGAAGCATAATAAGGTGATCACAGAACACTGTAAATATCAGAAGAGCTGTCAGAGAGTTACACACTTATGGCTATTTTTGTGATACGATGGTTTGCTTTGGAAAGTAATGATAAGAGGGAGTCCCCATCTCACACAAACACACACCCTTTGAAAATCAGGTCAAGCTTAAATGGGTAATTGAAAGTGACACTCCTTTGTTACACATCAGAAAGGTTTTAATATGTTGTTGTTCCAAACTGTGAGAGCAGATGTGTCAATCTTGCACAAGATAAATTGCAGATGGGCAAATCTGGGTCAAGATACTGGTGTGAGGTTTTAACTCTTCATGGCCTCCAATGCACAAAAAGCAAAGTCCCGGTCTTGATTGGAGCCATACTCCTCTCCCTTTACTTGCGTCCCTTAACTCCATCAGGGCTTTTACCCAATCAAGGTATTAAACATGGAACTGCTTAATCCGTATATCTGGTGATCTCAGCAGAACAGGCAAAAGTTCGTCCTCTCACACCTCCCTAGGTCAGAGTTCTCATAATGAATTTGGTCCTCCATACCCATAATTTAAGCAATAACAAGAACAACAACAGTAATTTCTTACCCACTTTTCCACACGGCTTTGGCGGGAAATTAATGGCGCTCCATGCAGTCATGCTGGCCACATGACCTTGGAGGTGTCTATGGAAAACACTGGCTCTTCGGCTTAGAAATGGAGATGAGCACCACACCCCAGAGTCGGACATGACTGGACTTAATGTCAGGAGAAAACCTTTACCTTTTATAGAGATAACTAGCTGTCCCCTGCCATGCGTTGCTGTGGCCCAGTCTGTTGATCTGGAAAATAAAGTAATGAGAAAGTGTTGGTTTCTAATATATGTAATTTCTTTATGCTTGTGGGTAAACAGTATTTCTTGCTGTTTCTTTGTCAGTGTTGATGTGGAGATTGTCTGGTTTGCCTACTCTGGAACATGCAACATATCATTGTCCTTCTTTAGGGGTCCCTTTCAAATCTATGATACCATATCTCTGTGTGTGTGTGAATCATATCTATCTATCTATCTATATCTATGGCTGGATGGCTCTTTGTCAGGAGGGCTTTGTTTATGTTTTCTTGCCCTGGTGAAGGGAGTTGGACTGGATGGCCTTAAGTATTTTCTGTTGTTCATGGGGGTTCTGTGTGGGAAGTTTGCCCCAATTCTGTCGTTCGTTTCAGAATGCTCTTGATTGTAGGTGAACTATAAATCCCTGCAACTACAACTCCCAAATGTCAAGGTCTTTTCCCCACAAACTCCATTTGTGTTCATATTTTGGCATATGGAATATTTGTGCCAAGTTTGGTCCAGATCCATCATTGTTTGAGTCCACATGTAGGTATACTACAATTCCCAAATCAACGTCAATGCCCACCAAACCCTTCTAGTATTTTCTGTTGGTCATGGGAGTCCTGTGTGCCATGTTTGGTTCAATTCCATCACTGCTCCTGCACATACAGTGGGTTCACTATATATGATTTTATTCACCTCTCTCACGTCTCTCCTTACGAATCCACTTCTTTAAAGCTAAAAGCTCACTTCACGAAGTCTTTCTTCGTAAGGTGGTCGCTCAGGTCATTTCATTGCTTTTGTTGTGCTTTTCTGAGTAAACAATAATAGAATTGGGTTGTTGTAGGTTTTTCGGGCTATATGGCCATGTTCTAGAGGCATTCCCTCCTGACGTTTCACCTGTATCTATGGCAGGCATCCTCAGAGGTAGTAAGGTCACTACCTCTGAGGATGCTTGCCATAGATGCAGGCGAAACGTCAGGAGAGAATGCCTCTAGAACAAGGCCATATAGCCCGAAAAACCTACAACAATCCAGTGATTCCAGCCATGAAAGCCTTCGACAATACAATAATAGAATTAATGTATTGTTGAAGGCTTTCATGGCCGGGATCACTGGATTGTTGTAGGTTTTTCAGGCTGTTTGACCATGCTCTAGAAACATTCTCTCCTCTATGTTTCATCCGCATCTATGGCAGGCATCATCAGAGGTTGTAAAGTCTGTTAGAAACTAGGAAAATTGGATTTATATATCTGTGGAAAGTCCTGGGTGGGAGAAAGAACTCTTGTCTGTTGGGGATAGGTGTGAATATTTCAATTGGCCACCTTGATTAAGATTTGATGGCATGACAGTGTTTAGGTGTGGTTTGTTACTGCCTGGGGGAATCCTTTGTTGAGAGGTGATTCGCTGTCCCTGATTGTTTCCTGTCTGGAGTTCCCCTGTGTTTGAAAGTTGTTCTTTATTTACTGTTATAATTTTAGAGGGTTTTTTAAAAATATATATTGGTGGTGAGATTTTGTTCATTTTCATTGTCCACATGCTTGTGGTGACTCAGGATGGAATGTCCAGGGTGGGAGAAAGAAATAACTCTTGTGTGCTTGAGGCAAGTGTGAATGTTGCGGTTGGCCACCTTGATTAGCACTGAATAGCCTTGCAGCTTCAAGCCATTGAAATCCACAAGCACGTGGAGAATTTCAACAGAAAGGATAAAACCATGAACATGAACACAATCTGGATACCAGTATTATAAAGAACTCTAACATTATAACAGTAAGTAAAGAACAACTCTCAAACACAGGGGAACTCCAGACAAGAAACAATCAGGGCCAGGTAATCACTTCTCAACAAAGGATTCCTCCAGGCACTAACAAACAACACTTAAAAATTGTCAGGCCATCAAATGCTAATCAAGTTGGCCAATTGAGACATTCACACCTAGCTCCAATGGACAAGAGTTCTTTGTGACGGTGCGAGTGGCGCCACCTATGTGTAGAACTGTTAGTTGCAAGATTTAAACTGTTGTATCATGCTTAATCCTGCCTTTTTACCCTGCTTATGTATAGTTGGATTGATTGGTTATTTATAGCTGTCAATCAGTATTGTTTGGCTCCACCTCTTCCTGGAGGAGGGGAGTGCTTTCCTTTTTCATTCTGCCATCAGAGTTTCTACCAAATGGACATGAGTAAGAGACTTGATTCTAAAAGACCCTGATTAAATTACCTCTCAGCACCAATTCTGAGGTTTTTTACCCTTGAGACTTATGCTTCA